CTGGAGGCACCCTCCAGCTTGGGGGACGGAGCAGGCATGGGGAGGCTGTGTGCTGGAACCAACCTGGCGGGGTCAGAAGAAAGAAAGCTTGGAGCAGTCCCCCAGGCTGCCTCCATTTGAAGGCTGACAGGATCACAACTCCCCAGAGAGGAGACCAGAGAAGGGTAGTGGGACAAAGAGAAACATGTCCCCTGGGGACCTTTTGCTGTGTTTTGAGTTGATTGAGGGTTCTGAGATTCCGGATCCTGGTCAAATCTTATTCATATCATGATTTCCTCCTATGCATAAAGGCCAGAACTAGGGGTTGAAATGATTAACTAGAAAAAAGATTAAAAAGAAAGAAAGAAAGAAAAAAAGGGTGCCTGATAACAAGATAGCACCTACTGCCTAGAGATATATCTTAACTAGAGGTTGAAAATAGTAAGTCTAAGGCCCCAAAAGGAAAGAACTCTGCTAGGGTGCTTATCAGCTCTGAAGAACAGAAGTAGGATTAATCTTAGACACAGAGGACCAGTCCAGGAATGATGGTAAAGCTAAAATCACAAGATAAAGCCCAGACTGAGACATAGACTGGGAAGAGGGCTTCTTGGATTCCAAGGAAGGAGCCAGAGTTCATTGTTCATGGGGTCAGGGTGTGGCATCGGATCCAAACCAGATCTGTAGCCAGAAACCAGGTGCCTACCTATAGTTCCCACCTACACACTCACCGGAGCCAGGTGCAGCCACTTCCCTGCATGCACCTGCAAGGCCTATGCTGGCAGCGCCCAGGGTTTGGTTCCATCCCAGCTGGAAGCATGTGAGGAGCTTGCTGTCTAGGACAAACAGTTGGCTCTGAATCCCATTCACCTTTATGTTTTCCCCTTGTCTGTGCCTGGCCAATATGGCCAGCTGTTTGACCCCTCATTGCTTCCAACCTCTGGTCTTAGAATTCCCCCAACCGAAGCCAACCCAAGCTGAGCTCTGATGTTTTGTCATGATTTTGCTAGTCCCAGCCTCTTGCCCCCTCCTGTTATTCTTTAACCCCATCCTAACACCTACACCAGGAAATTAGGCCAACCCCCAGTGCTTTCATTCAGGATAAGGGGTGTGAATAACTGAGAGAAAGAGAACCAAGTAAAGGCTGTGACTCAAGTAATGTTGGAAAGAGAAACTGCCCTTTAGAGAAATTCCCCGGTAGTTAACTAACATGTTAATTCAAAATGGAAGAAGCCAAAGAGGTGGAGGAGCCCATCAAGAGTATGCATTTCGTCACTCTTGGCCCCTAAGCAAAGAATAAGGGACAGTCACAAATTCTCTATAATGTTCTGAGAGCACCTATCACAAAAGCACATCTACCCAAATTATGTATGTTTCTGAAGAAAAAATGATAACTTATATATGTAAAGTCTATTCTCTTTCTCCATTATGGGGAATGTGTGCTAAATCCGGGCAAGGGTTAACCATTGCAGGAGATTATATCAAGCTTGGGTTTAACTTTTAAACAAGATGCTAGAGGGCATGTCTTAACTGTCATGCTGCATTGTGAATTTAGGGTTTGGGTGTGGGAGATCTGCCTCCCTTCTTTATAATCTACACAGGTGTGCAAAGGACTTCAAAGCTAGTTCTAGAAGGAGGCTATTGAGAATTACCTCTGCGGGAAAAAAATCAGAAAGAACCTGCAGAACAAATGCTGGGGAGAAGTGAACTAAACCTTCCCTGAGCAATTACCTTTCCATTAACATTAAAATTCCAAAATCTTTCTCTTGTGCTCTTGCTCAAGAACGAGGACTTTCCCATTCCAAAACATGATTTTAGATTTGATATTCTGAAAGTGATTCTAATAGGAAGTTTACCCAGGGAAATTTTGGCATGACATTAGGCTGTTGAGTAGAACCAATACTAACTCTGCCTTCCAGCCTGGGATACCTACTGTACGTTCTCAGACATTACTACTTGCTGTTGTACCAACTGTCGACTATAATTTCATAATGGAGACTGTAAAATGTGGTCACTTTAGCATCTGCCTCTCTTCTATAAAAGCAATTAAATTAATGAGCATAGTATTCCTTTTTTATGAATTGATGCTGCTGCCTAATTGATTAATGTTCAATAGGGTATAGTGGGTTGTACTGGGGTTGTAATTTTCAACAGTGGTATTGGGGCTTGGTTATCATACCATTTGGGGAAAAAAATTCCTCCTTCTAAACGTTAACATTTGAATCCTACTAAAAGCCAGGTTGGCTGGCAGGGTGGGTATTTATGCCTTTAGACTAAAGCATATTTTACTTCTTGACATTTTTCAATGATTTGTGGCCCATGAGTCATGAAAATAAAATCTTAAAACCCCAAGAAACTACCAGAAACCAAGCTTGGCATTTAGCATATTTCACAGTAAGCATTCCAACCTTACTCCAAAATGAAAATGTTTGTGTTCCCCAGTTTGCTTGCTTTTTTTCATCTATTGACATTTTGGGAATTTCCAGATTAAATTGACTGTGCTTCGGAGGATGAGATAACTGAAATTGGAGTTTGGAAAGTCCTGTAGAGTTCAGTCAATCTCACTCTTCCTCAGAGCAGAAGAAAGATAGTAACTTTTCTTATTTCACAGGGGTTGCTCACTTTTTTTTCTCTAGGAAAGATAATTTCTACTAGATTGTTTCATAACTATAATATGTAGGAATAAAAAAAATTTCAATTTCTAACCTGACTTTCTAGCTGAAGTATTTGCTAAGTTTAGTCATTCATTTTTCAGGTAAACAACCACAACAATTCAATTTGTTTAACCATTTGTCATGTTACCTTCTAACCTGCCATGTAACTGAACTACACACTGTTTATTATTTCCCCTCATTTCATTTTAGCAATTCTTACTCATCCTTGCTGTTATTCCTAATTTCTTTTAATTTGGGGGACTTTTAGTTCTGCCTAGTTTCTTATGGCATCGACTCTAAGTCTTCCTTCCTAGTAATGGAACTCACTTATAGTTTTAGCTAAGTATAGTATTCCACTTTTTTCCCTTCACCCCCAAAGTAGCATTTGTGTTTCCCAGTCTTCCTTGCAGCTAGTTGTGACCATGTGACTAAGTTCTCACTAATGGAATGGAGCAGAATGATGAGCACAGCTTGGGTTCAATTCTTTATAAGAGCATTGCTCACCCCCCTCTTCCTCTCCTCTCCAGCCTGCCATTTGGATGTGGCCCTGGGGGGTCAACTATAACCATACAGACAAGAGCAACATCCTAGGAAACAGGAAGAGCTTTAAAGTAAAAGAAAACCTCAGTGCCTGGACAAACCACACCTGTTCTGGGCCACCTGCCTATCTCTAGACAGTTACATGGGAGAAAAATAGATTCCTGTCTTACTTGAACAAAATTATTTTGAGGTCTCTTTTTGTGACAGTTGCAAAACTAGCCCTGACTAATATAGTTCTTAAGCATAAGGGAGGATGGTTCTACTGTCTTCTGTTGTAGTTAGATCCTACCTGGAGTATAGTTTTCCTATCTATGAATCACATTGTAAGAGACATAAAGACAAGGCAGAGTTTTGACCCAGTAGCATGCTTACTTTGAGGCTTCCTTTCTGTGTCAGAGATTGCCAGCTGATCACCAATCCATTTCTATTCTTTCTTGGCACACAAAGAGAATACAATTTCCAGCTTCCCTTGCAATGGAAAGTGAGCAAAAATGATGTGGGCTGCTCCCAGATCTGGCCTGTAGAAACTTCCCATAGACTTTCTTTTTCTGCTGCTAGATATTGGCACGTGGAATAACCTTGAACACTGAGTTTTGAAGATCGCTGAGTCTCTCTTTCACCCTTGGTTCCTGAACTAAGTGCTGAACAGAGCCCACTGGCCAACCTGAAACTGCTCTGGGCTGTGTGAGTGAGGCAGGCATGAACTTTTACTATGGTGGAGCCATTTGGTACTTAAGAATCAACTGCTAACAGCAGTCAGCCTGCCTTATCTAACACTCTGTCCACATCCACTAAATATCAAGAATTGTTTAACTTGATCATAGGACTATGCTCAGGGTCACAATACTTATCAACAGCTCTACCAGACTGGACTTCTTGAAACTAAAGATATTTGACCCCTTTTGACTAAAAAAGCAGAACTTTAAAACAGTTCAACCTAAAATAATAGAAGATAATCTGATTCTTTCCACCTCTCTTTTGGCCCACACATGATTGATAAAGAGGGGTCAATTTCTTTGAACAGCAATATGAGAAAAGTTTTCAAATACAGATTCTCTTTGATAGAGGTCTGCCAAAAGTTGGTCAAATGGGGATATACAATACAGTCCATTGATTTATGCTGTTGGATTCTTCAATATTTTCCTTTTTCTCTGTCTTTTTTTTTAAACTTTAAGTATCAGGAAATTTTTCCTAGAAGAAAAGCTAGATTTCCAGATTTTTTAAAAATCAGAAGATTTAGCAGCACTTACATCACAATCAGCTGGCACTCAGGGGCTCTTCTTTAAGATAGATCACACCTTCTCTAGGTCTCCACAGAACCAATACTCCCCTTTTATCCCTAATACTGATATGCACGTCAAATGCTACTTATCTTTCTGATGCAGGTTTTTCATACCTGGCCCTACAGTCCATTTGTGCTGTTGCTCCTTAGGAACACTGAAGTGAAGTCAATGATTAACAAAGGACTATTATGCTGAGATCTGCTTTTGAAGGAGTTAGAAATCCTGTGGAAGACAGTGAAGTCCTCGTGGGTATTGGCAGGAAGAGTCAGGAAACGTGTTCCCATTTGTATTGGGTGCTGGACCTCCTTGTGGGGGAATATTCCCAGGCTATCAAAATTTATTCTCTTTAATCCCCAACTTCCTTTCTGTAAGACAAATGTGGGACATCAAGCAAAGCTTTGTAAGGGAGAATAGAATTTTGCTGTTCTGTATTTAATCGAAAGCCCCAATGGCAATATTGATTGGTTTGACTTCACAAAAGAGTTAAACAATTTCCTTCCTCATCCTCAAATGTCTAATTGTGTTGAGCTTTCTTTGTCACCACTAGCTTCTTGAATGTTGTGCAAGTTTAGGTAACACACCCTTTATCTGGGAACAAGCAGATCAGAGAAGCCAAGAGATGGAGGAGAAGCAGGGACAGAGGACTTTCACCTTTTTGACTCAGGCATGGACCTCTGTGCAGGTGGGTTTTAGGGCTCTGACTCAGTCATAAGATGATGCTTCTGCAGGTGTGGTGCCTGTTTTCAAAACGGTAGAATATGCTAAGCGTTAGATTTTCTATAAATGTGATTTCATATGCAAAGTTTTCCTTTTCTAAAAGTTTAAAAACCAATGAGTACAAAGTGGATTACTGAGCTCCCAGAGAATTTCCTATGCTCACAGCATGAACAAGGGGAGGAATGTGGGTGATGTAGAATAGTCAGGGTGAATGCTTGAAGTTGGTTTTGCCCAACTTCAAGCATGGTACTACTGGAGTAAGCATGGTAATTTGGAGGTGGTATAAAAATGTACCTTAAAAAAATGGTTAATAGTGTGACATTTACTTTAACATTAATTTGAATAAAAACAATACAACAATGTCTCAAAACTGTTATTACATTAATATAAATGCATAGAGTGAATAAAGGAAAAGTTAGCCCTTTAAAAGGAAAACATTAGGTTAAGTAAGAATACAGGGATTTCTAGGGGCCAAGGACCTGAATAGACATTTCTACAAGAAGACATACAGATGTCCAACAGACACATGAAAAGATGTTCCACATCACTAATCATCAGGAAAACGCAAATCAAAACCATAATGAGATATCACCATGCACTAGCCAGAATGCCTGTTATCAAAAACATAAATGACAAGTCCTGGCGAGGATGTAAAGAGAAAAGGGAAACCTTGTGCAATGGTGGTAGAAATGTAAATTGCTATAGCCACTATGGAGAACACTATTGAAAGTCCTCAAAAATTAAAATAACAACTACTCTATGATGCAGCAATTCAACTCCTGAGTATTTATCCAAAGAAAATAAAACACTACTTTGGAAAGATATATGCACCCCCCATGTTCCCTACAGCATTATCTTCAATGGCCAAGATATGAAAACAACCCAAGTGTCCATTGATAGATGAATGGAAAAGAAGATGTGGTATGTTACCTTAAAAAAGAGTGAAATCTTGTCATTTGCAACAACATGGATGGACCTAGAGGATATTATGTTAAGTGAAATAAGTCAGATAGAAATAGACAATACCATGTGATTTCAGTTACATGTGGAATCTAAAAAACAAAACAAAACGAAACAAAACAAAACAGAGACAGACTCAGAAAACGAACTGGTGGTTGCTGTGGGGAGGAGGACTGAAAGGTGAAATATGGGAAGGGCACAAACTTGCAGTTATAAAATAAGTAAGACATGAGGGTGCAATGTCCATCATAGGGAATACTGTTAATAACACTGTAATAACTTTGTATGGAGACAGATGGTAACTAGATTTATCATGATCACTTAATAATGCATATACATGTTGATTCACTATGTTGTACACCTGAAGTTAATGTAATATTGTCTGTCAACTACACTTGAAATAAAAACAACAGAAAGAATATAGAGACTTACACTTCCAGTCAAGATAGAATAGCAGGAACCAAGTTTATCTTCTTACCTGAAACTGCTGGAGATAAAAATATACCTATGAAACAACAGTACTCGAGACAATGGACATTGGGCAATGACAGGTGGTGATCCCTGAATGACGGGAAGCAACTGAGAGGAAATCCTACAACCACCCGAGCCCTTATTACCTGGAGAGTCTCCAGGTCATGGCACAGGAATGGGAATCCAGTCAAAGCTGAGGAGCAGTTTCCCTCAGTCACAGAGACAGAGGTGGGAGTCCAGGGAAGCCAGGCTGTCTGTAAGCAAAAACAAACAAACAGCAACCTTTTGATCTCTATCTCATACCAGAAACACAAACTAACTCAAAATGGATCATAGATGTGAATATAAAACACAAAGCATGAAACTTCTAGGAAAAATATAGGAGAAAATCTTTTTGACCTTGTGTTGAACAGAGATCTCTCTGATGCAACACAGAAAACACAACCCATAAAAGACAAAAAATGGTAAATTGTGCTTTATCCATATTAAAAAATTCTGCTGTTAGAAAAATACTGTTAAGGGAATAAAAAGACAAGTTACAATCCGGGAGAAAATGAAGATCTCATATCTGGTAAGGACTTGTGTCCAGAACACACAAAACATTCTGAAAACTCAAAGAAAACCAACACCCAATTAAAATTGGGCAACTGTTTTGTACAGACATTTCACCAAAAAAGATACATGGATGATAAGTAAGTTCATCAAAATATGGTGACATCATTAGTCATTAAGGAAATGCAAATTGGTATCATAATGAGACACTACTACACACCTATTCAAATGGCTTTTAAAAAGATGGACCATACAAAGTGTTGACAATTACAAAGATCAACAGGAACTTTCATAGACTTCTGTAAGAATGAATTATGAGAATGAATTATAGAACAACCAATTTGAAAAGCAGTTTGACAGTTTCTTTTAAAGTTGAATATATGCCTACCCTATGATTCAGCCATTTTGCTGCTACATAAACAAGAGAAATAAGAGAATATGTGCATACAAGGACTAATACAAAGACATTCCCAGTGACTTTAGGTATAGTAACCAAATATTGAAGAAAACTCATATGTCCATCAACAGGTGAATGATTAAACAAATTGTGGTATACCCATACAATGGCAAACTTCTCAGTCATAAAAATAAATGCATTACTCATACACAAAACAGCATAGAGATGAATTTCAAAATAATTATACTGAGCTAATAAAGTGGGACAAAAGTGCATACATACTGAATGATTATATTAATATAAAATTCTAGAAAATACCAACTAAGCTGTAGTGATAAAAAGTGTATCAGCGGTTGTTTGTGGATAGAGGTCAGAGACAGGTGGGAAAGAAAGATTACCAAGTGGTACAAACAAACTTTGGGGGGTTAGATATTCACTATCTCAACTGTGTTATGAGCCAAAACTTATCAAATTGTACACTTATACACATGCAGTTTACTCTATGTCAAATGTACCTCAATGATGCTGTTAAGAAAATATAAATATGATGTGAAAAGAAAATTGAAGGTTGAATGATTAGATTTTGGAGACACAGCTTGAATTTATCCTATTTTTCTTTTACCCATTCTTTCTTTATCATTCTCTTGTTCTTGCCCTTTTTCTCTTTCTTCTCTCCAAGTCAGAATAGGTGATAACAGTTTGGGACCACCGTGTATAAGTTGCTCTAGCCGGTGTAAGAAAGGACCCTCTGACACTGTCCGCTTGCTAAAGATATTTTAGCAATGGAGGAAGCTGTTTCATGAGATAGCGGGATCTCCATCTCAGGGATCCTCCAGCTAGAATAAATGAACACTTGGCAGGGACATAGTAGTGTCAGGTGGGGTGTTAGGTCAAGTCAGTGGCTTTCAAGCCTTTTTGGGTTTTAACCCACAAAAATCTTCTACAAATGAATGAAATCTTTGGTGGAAGACAAATACATACAGAAGACAAAAGAGCTATTTCTTTGAAAAATGATGGGTGCTCAGTTTCTGCTGACTTGGTCCCATCTTTCATCTGTTATTGTGGTCCTTCCGTGTCTCTTTGGGTAGGTCATTCTTGTTCCTTCCAACTCTAAAATTCTGTAAATGCTTAGTTGCTGTGGGAGTAATTGAGGGCCATGAATGAAAAGTTTTTGCCCACATCAGAGGTTGAGGTGAAGATCTGGCCACTTCTTAGTTATCTGAGAAAAAGTGGACTCATTTGCAATAGAAAAAGCAATTACATTCTTTGCAAACAAGTCCTGTAATTATAACACTGATAATCTTTTTCCCAGAGGGAGTATAATACAGCTACATTTTATCCAGATGTACCGGCGCTTTTTCCCCTTCACTTTCTAAGAAAGAAGGGCTTCAGATAATGGTTTGGTTTGTTAACAGTTTGGTTGGTTCTGTTTCTCTTTAGACTGTGTATTTTTCCCCCTTTTTAACTCTGAACATGCTAACTGTGTTCGACCATACTTTAGTCAATAAGAGAAAGGAGGCTTTTTTTTCATATTAACAGGAATGATAAAAGTAATAATAGCATTTGCTGAGCATTTACTAAGTGCCAGGCACTGCAAGATGGTTACTTTTTATGGGTCAACTTGGCTACATACCCCAATATTTTGTCAACTATTATTTATGATGTTTTTGTGTGTTTTTGAAAGAGATTGACACTTAAATTGTTTTACTTCCAGTAAAGCAGATTGCTTTCCATAATGTGGGTGGGCCTCATTCAATCAGCTGAGGGCCTGAATAGAACAAAAGGCTGACATCCTCCCTGCAAGAAGGATTCTCCAGCAGACAGCCTTTGGGCTTCATCTGCAACACTGGCTCTTAACAGACTACTTTTGCACTCAAACAGCAACTCCTTGCTGAATCTCCAGCCTTTTAGCCTTTTTCTATCAGATTTTATAACCAAGCCTTCACAACTGTGTGAGCCAATTCCTTAAAATAAATTTCTTTATATACACACATACACACACACACATCCTACTTGTTTTCTTTCTCTGGAGGACCCTAATACACATTGCAGTAAGAATTTTGAATCTACCAATTCATCTAATTTGCTCAATAATCCTATGAAGTTTGAATACAATACTTTAAGAGGTATTACTATTTCACAGGTTAGAGAATGACTTTGTGATAAAGTGACTTGTCCAAGTTCTACAAGCTAATAAGTGGATAAGCTGGGATTATAACCCTAAATTTGTGGACTGATCCACTTTGCTTTACCACACTAGCCAGCCCTTGACATTTTTTGGCCTTGGTGGGATGGGCCTCAGCACCAGCTCATCTGAAATCTTACTTCTACCAAGACCCTTTTTCCTTTCTGGGGCTCCTGGGAGGCTGCTTGGTGTCTCCCTGGGAGTGGACACACCTGACCCTCTCTGGCAAACTTATGCGTTATTCTTCACTTGCTAAATCTTTAGCTTCCCCATCTACAAAAAGAGAGTAAATCACTTGGCCAGCTTGTTGTGAGCATTAAACGGAATGTATAGAGGATCTGTCTTACTACTTGCACGC